CTTTAAGTAAATTTGCAAGCCTATACTATGTTACTTATACTTGAGTGAAGAAGTTTAATCAGTACTTCCACTTTTACCATAGTATTTTTTAACACAAGTATCTGTACTTTTACTCAAGTACGGAAAGTGAGTACTTTTGCCATCTCTGGTAAAAACTGAGCCCTTAACACTATAAAACAGGCCTAACACTATCATCTGTAATCAAAGGTGTTGATGGCAGCAGACCGGCTGATATTTTGCTCCAGGGTAGAGTCACGGCCAAGACAATATCAAGTTAGGGGTTGATCTACTGTACCAAAAACAGCAGAATGTGAGAATAGGGATATAAAGAAGCAAAATGATGAAAAGTGGCCCCTATGTCTTCTAGCAGTTTAAGCCTATAGCAGCATAACTACAGTGATGGCTCAGCCTATCCTGAACCATTGTAATTATAAGGTTTATCAAAAAGGAAAGTTTTGGCCTAGTCTTAAATGTAGTTTTATGATTAATGAGAGAAATAAGTACTTCCATTATTGTAATTCAATTATTTGAAACTTGGAGTCATTTCTGGTCGCACATACACAAATAATTTTTATAGTATGGATTCCGCCATCTCAGTATCCTTCTATGTCATACCACATCCCCTGCGTTCTTCCCCATATCTATGAAGCCTCTCTGTGGTTTTTTTTGTTCCTCTTCAGAACCTGGTAGTTCTGATCGCATCATTAGTCCAGTATGTCCCTTATATCTTATAGTTTAAAATAAAATCTTTGGTTTTCTGTGAATCAGATAAAGCTGATTTTCATCTTTTGTAAAAGGAACTATATCTTTTTTTTTTCCTGTCAGGGTTAAGCAAAAGCTCTTCCACAGTGTATTAGCTGTTGAAGAAAACAAACTAATAAATATTTGACTAATTGATTAATAGCTGAGGGAACTTAGGCTTTTTCTTTTCTTTAGTTGGAACAAGCAGACAGCTTTTCTCTGCCCATGGCACAATGAGGGGTGGATTATTTTCTTGGCAGCAGATCCTCCAGTGCATGCAGGAAACCATGGCTGCCTAAATACCAGGGAAAATGACAATACCTCCACTGCCTCCCATCCAAAACTGCATTGGAGTAGAAAATCTGATGTCGATGGGCCTGATGTGTAACGGTTATCACCTCTTACTCCAGGTGGAGAATTTTGCAGCATCCCTTTGGAGTTGATTTGGACTGGAAACTAACTAGTAGTTATGCTAGATTAAAAAAATTTGGTATTTGTTGTTAGCAACTCATAGTTGTTAGTTACTTTCTGCTTTAGTAGCATTTTATCTAACTGTTGGATGCATGAAATGTTGCTACAGAGGATTGTTACTATGCTTGTGTGTTTAGAACATAAAAAACACGGTTGGGGGCGGGGCTTACATGATCATAGTCTTGAACGTTACTTGACATACTTTACCTTTAAACAGCAGCTGGTTCAAAATGTATAATTTATAGTTGTGGTTTTCACATTGAACAGCAGATTGTAAACTACAATTACTTTGCATAACCACTAGAAGAACCAGTTTAACGAGGACAAGAAAGGTTTTTGCTAACACCCCTAATGGCTGATTGATGGGATCTAATTAACAACCCAGCCTGTCGAATACTGCATTTTTTCCAGGTTTTTTTTTTTTTTTTTCACTACTTAACTGATGTAATAAATGTAAAATAATTAAATCCTTCTCAAATTAAAACCTTTTAAAAATATACAAAGTTCAAAGTAGAAACAGATGTAGTTAATTACAGTAATGTGAGTTAATATAACCAGTTTCTTTCCACCCCTGACGGTGCGTCTCCTTTTTCCACAGGGTCCGACATTGTAACCAGTGGGTTCAGCGTGCAGACCTGTCGCAACATGGTCAACATGTTGGACGTATCCTTATAGGTCTTATAGATGGAGGAGTCAGTAATAGGGCTCTTATTCTGAAATCAACCTGCTACTAATGGGGGCTTTTAATATTTACAATATTTAATTAAGGCTCTTATTAACATTGTTTTTAATATAAACAATTTTATAAAATCACACGCTGTCATTAGGTTGTCTTTTATTCTGAAAACACTGTCATATATCTGACTCTTATTTGGAAAGTACTCTATTAAAGTTTATTACAGAACCTTTATTGTGAGATGAATGAATTTCCTCCATGTTAAACAGGAAGCAGATGCGTGTGTGTTTGTGATGCACTTGTATAAGAGGGAGGACCATTTTTCCAATTTCACCATCACAATGAGGACCAGTTCTTGTAAAAGGAGGACATTTTTACTGGTCCTCACAAGGTATTTTGCTAATGGTTAGGTGCAGGGTTAGGTCGCTGGGTTCAATACTTTTCTAAGCAGATCCTAAACCTGGACCACAGAAAGATGGCAGTGGGAAACTAGGTCTGGTGGAGTTTAAAATCCTGTGGACCAAAATCGAGAACTACCTGGTGAGTTTGTCGCAGTTTCTCGAACACATCCCAGCTGGGTCCTTTCAGAGTACTAAACTGTCACCCATTTGGTTGTTGTAGAAAATTTACAGGGAGCGGGACGTGGATAACTCCGGGTCCATGAGCTCCGTGGAGATGCGGACGGCGGTGGAAGAAGCTGGTAAATCTTCTTTGTTTCTGACATGTTTGCTTTTATGTCGTACAGTTTATCCCAGTTTATTTTTTTAGTTTTTATCAGGCTGTTGAGTTTGATTCTGATCAGAAAATGAGAACACTTTTCAAATACTGTTAGGGTAAAGTCTCTGGAAAGCTGCTCATTGTGGCCAAGCAGATCCAGATGATGTTCTAGAGGCCTGCTGTGCCGGTCCAGGTTCTGATCCTCCTGGTCTCTGTTACAGGGTTCAGCCTGAACAGTCCTCTCCATCAGGTCTTGGTGGCCCGTTACAGCGAGCAGGATCTCACCGTTGACTTTGACAACTTTGTGGGCTGTCTGGTCCGTCTAGAAACCATGTTTGGTGAGTTCTGGACTAGCTGAGAATGTTTTTTTTTTTTTTTTATAGTGAGTCTTTCCCCTCATTTTGTCCTCCTCTGTGCACAGACATGTTCAACACACTGGAAAAAGACGAATCTGGATGCGCGGAGCTGAACTTAATGGAGGTAAGCTTCAGCTTTGAATATATAAATATAAAATCCAGAGGTTTTCTGACTGGGACCAAACCGATCCGGTTGTAAAATAGCTTTTAGGGCTTTACTCAATTTCGGCCTTTTTGTGGTTCTGCTCTGGATACAGAAAACTGGGTGTCCAACAGCTGCTATTAGCTTGTGGGTTAAGCCGATCAGCAGAAACTCTTACCTTAATTAGACTGGTGTTGGCACTGCTTTAGGATTCAAAGCATGACTTTTGTAAAAACTGAGTAAAGAAAGCAGCTGTGCATTTCCCTACATAAAAAATAAATACCTTCTTTATATAGGGAAATGTACAGCGGCTTTCTTTACTCTGATAAGAAGCAGTTTGCAGCAACAGATGGAGGAGGGGCAGCCTTGTGTTACCTTATGGAATCAGTTTTATTTAAAAGTTTAATAAATAATCCATACGAATGGTGGAATTTAAAGGGGTGAGGAGGGGTAAAGCTGGTTGGGGCCGTGGCCTCTCAGAGTGATGCTGTGCCCACCCTGGACTGGAAAAGTGTTTATTTGATCAGGATTTAGTGTTTATCACTGTAGAGTGACCAACTTTTTATCATTCCTATCTTTGATCTGTCAATTACACCATTCAACCGATCTAAACAAAAAGCGAAGCCAGCGTGGAAACCAACTACACATAGAGGGGGCGGGTCTTTGAGGCAGCAGTGATCACCATAGCTGGTGTGACACGAATATGCAGACTGTTATCAGAAATGCTAATGGAAATAAGAAGCGAGGAGGAAGTAGCTAAGTTGGAAGCTAAGAAGTCAACAACAGAGTAAGCATTCATGCTTGTAGAGTTAGCTGCATTACTGAGGCACTAATAGAATAATTCAGCCAAATGGAAGAAACGTGATAATATCACAGTTACAGCAACTTACAATAACAAAAAAAGTTCATGGTTTGTATTTATACTTCTGTCTCTGACGGAACTTTAGAAAATAAACTTTTCTATTTGTTTCTGATAGAGCTGGGTGGAGTATTCAAAAAAATGCACTTAAGTCAGAGTAGCACTATTTCATCATATGTTTACTCGGGTAAGAGTAAAAAATGGCCTCTAAAGAAATTACTCGGGCAAACAGGTATTTAGTAAAAACGCTGCTGAAGTATTGAGTAACTGATCTACTTGCTATACAGACCATAACAACTGATTTAATACTTAACATTATGTAAAGATGTAAAATTTAACAAAATATTAAATGATACAATTTTTTTTCAAAGAATAAGATAAAAATAAACATAGTGTATGGTAATTACAAAAAGAAAGAAATTAGGTGAGATGAATACTCTTCAAAGTATTTTTTTTTTCTTAATTTGTAAAATTTACAAAATCAATAGTGACAGTATGTAAGAATAGGTTAAATTAAAGTATACTGTTTATTGTATACTGGTAGACTTGGCAGATAAAAAATATTCAACCAATGAGCCTTGAGTACAAAAAAAGAAGAAATTTTTTCTTTAATTTGTGCATATTTGTTTCAAACAAGCCTGTTTTAATCAAGGGAAGTTACTCCCAATGGATCGAGCAGCCAAAAGTTTTACTCGAGCAGAAAATTATATTTTAGCATATTTTTACTCAAGAGTAAAAGGTACAATGCTGTCTCATAAAAGTACTTTTTTTTGTTTTTCTCAAAAAGTTACCCAAGTAAATGTAACTAGTTACTACCCACTTGTTTCTAATGCAATAATACTGAATAGATTTCCTGATGGAAGAGAGACAAACAGTGCATTGCCCAGGTGATGCTGCAGTCGTTGTGGTCATTTTTATCAATGTATGTATTTAGGCTGATTTTCAACTTTTTAGTGACTAGAATGGATGCAGCAAGTTGTTTTTAAGTGAATTTTTTCTTCTTTTTTTCGAATTTTATTGATAGATAGTAGGAGAGGCCGGGAAAGCCATTTTTAAGCCATTCTAAATATTAGGTGAGGAAGTGTGCCCTCCTGAAAACATGGAATGTCCCCATTTTAATTAGTTCCTGTAGCCGGGTCTGGGTAAAGCCCTCCATCACAACAGAACCACCTGTGGTCTAAAGATGCGTTCGGGGCCAATGGGAACGTGGTGAATTTTCTGCATAGTTTCCCTGCTTGACATTTATTGATTTTATTTATTTGAATGCACATTATTGAACATCAGTATAAAAACAAATGTAAATATGCCGGATTATAGCTACAAAGCTAGTTTTAATCTGTAGTCCCTAGGCAGGCAAATACATAAGAAAGAACATATAATATGCAATACAAGCATTTTAGCTCCCTGTTGCAAATGATCTGCAGGTATTAGCGTTGGGTCGGTCATGAACTGATTTTGTTAAGTGAACCCAAAAGTTGTTTAAACAAACAGAATCAGTTCACCATTATTAATTGATCCGGTACTTTAGTTTAGTTAACATCGACCTGAGCCGGTAGGGAGGAAACTTCTGCACACAAGTGTCTGTTACTCAAAACTAACAGCTAAAGTTTTTCATTCTAGTGATTCAGTTCACTCAAATAACTTTTTCTCCCAATTCTGGCTAGTATGGCAAGCTGTTTTAACATTTAGCCATGAGTTGAATATCTATGTAACAGTAAAAACTGAAGTTACAGATAAAAGTAATTCACTGTTAACTTGGAAAGATGCTTTCGCTGAAATCGGTAATGAATATCCAGTTTGATTATTATATCTAAAAAAGCTTACCATACATGAAGATACCTCGGTAAACTTTTGCTGAATAGCTTGTTGGTTCCTCTTGTGTGTTCAGCTTAGCTGACCTGGAGTTTATCGAGCAAAACACTGAGCTTTATTTCAAGTGGAAAGCTGAACAAAGCTGTTGGTTTCCCTGATGCACCAGTACCGCTCCCAGTTCCTCCAGCTGCTCCAACCCTGTCCATTTCTAAAATAAAAATCTTTGCAACCACTGCGTTCCTTCCGCCTACATTACAACCACATCAAGTCCTCTGATTGGTTTGAATTACCAAAATGCTCTGCGGAATTTTTTGCAAACTTTCCCTTAACCCACTCAGTGCGTCCACTGCACCTATACTCTTCATGCAGCTTTGCTCTAAACACCAGATGAGCTTGAAAGGCATCCTTCAGATCGCCAACTGTTCCATGACTCCTGAACTCGCCTTTACATCAGATGAACACACTTTTAAAAATGCTTAATTGCTTCTGTAGATGGGGTTATTGATTGATAACGGATGTTTGTTTCCTACAGTGGCTCAACATGTCCATGCTCTGAAGAACAGCCGGGTTCTGGTTCTGATCCAGGATGTATGACGCAGACCCAGATGGATGTTTTCTTCGTTTTTTTTTTTTTTTTTTTGTAAACGCTCATGTAACCAATAATGAATAAATAATCAATAAAGTGATCAGTAATTCCAAGTTCAGCTTTTATTTCTTCTATAACAAAGAAATTTTCTCAACAGTTCATAAGTTTGTAATCAGCTTCTTGTCCAAGCTGTGGGCGGAGCCTCTGTGACATCACCGTTTTGTCTTCTGGCGGGCGAAGTCTTCAGCCCACCGCAGTGCCTCTTTGATGTCACCAAAGCTTCCTGTTCCCTTGGCGACCAGAGCTGAGCCTCCGGCACTTCCTCCAAGTTGGCGGCAAACTGCCACCGCCCAATCAGAGGCAGGTAGGGTGGAAGACTCCTGCAGAGGAAACGGACAGCCAATCAGATTCCTCCCTTTCCAAGAAGAACTCCACCCCCCAGTAACACCAGCAGTGTTACCTTAGGAACTTGACAGGCACAGAGAATTTTCCCAGAATCCTTCTGGTGAGAAAGCAGCATCACATGACTGAGAGGAGTGGCGGCACTCAGCTGGTTGACGGTCTTCATTAGAACCTGGAACAGAACCAGAACTAGTCAGTCTGTGTGGACAGAAAAATCCAGATTGTATGGAGGGAAATTTGTTCAACTAGACTTTATAAATGGAAATTGAAATGAAAAAAAATAAAAAATGAATCCAAATATTTTACTTTGAAACAATTTTTTAATTAAACAAAGGTTTTGAGTAATTAAGCCGTTTTCTCAAATAGTTTTTATTTTTGCTAAATTTATTTTCATCTTATTTTTTCATGTTTTAGTTTTTCATTTTTTGTAAATATAGTTTTACATATTAAGGAAATTTTTAGGTGTGCCTCCTGCCAAGAAACGATTCATTAAAATTTGGTAATTATACAGATCATGAGCAAGTTTTATCTATAGGCGTAAGTCACAATATGGGGCAACATTTGCTGCTTGGCAGAACTCTGCGCTCTCAGATATGGAAGCCCAATAAATTCATAATTAAATAAATAAAAAATTATGAAATAAATACAATTTTGATAAATAACAAACATATATAATATGGTCATGAAATAAAAACAAGGAAATGTTATTATGAAATATATATTTTTTTTCTTTAATATCTACTTATTATATTTATCATAATTGAATATTTCATGATAATTATTTTCACAATATCAAAATATCAATATTTATACAATATGCTTTTTTAAATAATTACTTTTTATTTCATTTTCCAAGATTTTGGAAAATAAAGAACTTTTTTCCAAAGTTTGTCTTTATTCCATAATGACATTCTCCACAATGGCCTTTTTTATTTCATAATGTTTTTCAGCAGAATGACCTCGTCTGTCAATCAAAGCAGGCAAGGCAGAGCCAGTTAGGTGATTGGCTGCTCCTTTACTAAGACATGAGCAGCAGCACTTGCAGTATCGATTCAAGCGCAGAGACTTTTCACCAACTGGAGGCCAGGAGTGAGCGGCTCGTTAGCGATGAGATGGCAGCTGGAGAGAAGTCAGTTGCAGAGAAGTTGTGAATAGATTGGATAGTAACAGGAATCCCGCACCTCAGCCTGAGAGAGGAGCGCTGCAGCACCGTGTTTCTGACCAGGTGGTGCCTGGACGTTCACCTAACAGTGCAGCATCAGCGTTACAAACTGCTCATGCTAACGCGGGTAACCAGACGCCAGACCCAGCGGAGGTCCAACCCCTTAGCTTTGATTGACAGACGAAGTCATTCTGCTGAAAAATGACATTATGAAATAAAAAATGACTTTGGGAAAAACTTTTTTTATTTGATAAAATCTTGGAAAATGTAATAAAATTCTTTAAAAAAAAAGTATATTATGAAAATAATTATTAGGAAATATTCAATTATGATAAAAAAAATAACAAGAAGTAAATACTAAAGAATAGCTATATGTATTTCATAATAACATTACCTTGCTTTTTATTTCATGGCCATATTATATATTTGTGTGTTATTTATCAAAATGGTATTTATTTCATAAAGTTTTTTATTTATTTATGAATCATTCGGGGTTCCATACTCGGAGGGCTTTTCTAATTCTATATTTTTCCTGTAAAAGTTGCTATTTTACATGTTATTGTCTTCACCTTAAGCTCTTACAAAAAGCTCGTTCTTGACGAGCAAATTGACAGAAATAGTTTGCTAACGACAAGCAGACAATAGAAAAGTGTCTTTGCTAATCACTCCAGAGGAAAGCTCCCACCTGGAAGTGATAACTGTGATTTGAAAAGAATACAATCCATAAAACTAAATCTCGAAACACAAAGAAATGTATTCTCTAAAAATTAATTTTGAAAAATAGAAGACAGTAAAGCTACTGTGAAAAAATTTTTCCATTTTAATTTACGTTTAATTTCTAAATTGCTTTTTTTTGTTGCAAATTTCCATTTACAAAATGTGTTCTTTGCAAAAACAAGTGAATATAAAATTCCCTCCATACTGAGTGGCCCCTCATGGGTCACAGATCTGACCCCTATAGGCCCGTCTGGAGTTAATTATTTGATAATCAGGACCTTCTCAAATGCTGACTGGTAATAGGTTCTAGTGGTAGCAGGATGCAGGAGCTTGTCCTCCAACCAAGAGGTTGCTGGTTCAAACCCCAGCTCCAGCTTTTATGTCAGTGAGCTAGACACTTTGCTAAAGGTGATCGGAAGGCCACAGAAAGCCTTGCTTCTGAGAGGAGCCCCAGGGCGACTGCCGCCATCAGTGTGTACACAAATGACTGAATGTGGTGTGGTCCAGTCTCCCGATGTGAATAAATGTCCTAAGTACAGCCCATCTACCATTTTCATTATAATAGCCTGTAATTAATCAGTTTAATTCGTCAGTTTAGGCTCGGTTCTACCCACCGACAGCGAGTCCGTCTCCACACAGTCTACCAGCAGCTCCTTCTTGCCATTCTTCTGAAACAGGACTTCTGCGTTCTTTGCAGCCTGAGCAAAGCATGATGGAACAGATTGAGAGAGCAGCCCGTGTCATCAGGTATGGCTGATGACACCAGCTGGTGCGTTCTCACCTGTTGGGTCTCCAGTTTCCTGATGAGCGTGTTGATGGCTCTGAGCATGGCTCGCAGTCGGGCCTGCAACTCTCTGCGCTGCCACTGTGGAATGGGGGTGTTGTCTACAGACTGCCAGACACAGCACAGGATTTAGCAAACATCACTTCTTTAGCAGCAATGCATTATTGGCCGAGACCTACATCAGACAGGGTGCTAGCTTCCTTGGAGAAGTGATGGGCGGAGCCTAGGCTGGAGGGGGCGGAGTCTGAGAGTCTTGCTGATAGGGAGTCCACTTCCTGAGATAAAACTCGTCCCATGTCCCTCGCCTGGAGAAACATCAGAATTTCATTTCTGTCGTACAGATTCAGTTATTATCCAGGAACAGCAGCGGTTCAGTCCAAACAGATCAGCTGCTATACAGACCACTGGATATTAGGGTTGTCAAAAGTATCGATACTCA